ATTCCTGATTACCTCCAAGCAGTCGGATGCAATGGTCAATCTTGTAATAAGAGCTTATCCTAGCACCAACACCCCATTGCATCCATGGGCCTCCAAGCTAGCTGGATCAACAAGACCATCAAAAACCGTTGCTGAAGCTCCAACAAACTTGCCACTAGCATCCCGACATACAACTGTTATTGCCCCTTTGCCGCTGTGCCTACACCGCCCAACATCAACACTCAACTTCATGTCACCAATAGCAAGGGAAGCCACTTTACCTTCGATGCACGAGCTCTTGCCGAGACATAATTTGGAGACCTGTTACACATCGAGGCTATCTCCAAGTTTTCCCAGTATCTATTGATGAAACCCATCGTAGAATGAGGACTTTGAAATTTGTCATTTGAATTGCCTGCTTTTGAGCCCACCAGACGGCCATAGGGTAATAAACACTCGCACAAGCTCCTGCTGGTTCATGGGTTCAAACAAACAGAATAAACATAGCCGGGCATCGTCCGAACGATTAGAGATCATATGTTCCATGTTTCTTCATTTCCCAACGCCCGTAAACATTAGGCTATCCGACATTCAGTCAAGGCATGGCGCCAAGTGTCCTCAGCCGCATCTTTACTCCTATAAAAGACTCAGTTGATGATGATGGTGATGAACTTTTTGCAAATTCGATTAGTTTTGTTTCAAATTTGATGAACTATTTTTACAAATTCGTAAACTTTCTCAAAGTCCGTGATCATTTTTGAATTCACATTTTTCTTATTTTTTGCGTTTTTCAGCGTTGTTTTTCCCGTATTTTTAAGAAGTTAACGGTTAACCAGACAACTGGTCAACCACGACTAGTCAAATAGTGCTAGAGCGACCAGGGGTGGGAACAGGTGAACGCTTACCTTACCTGGGCCGGCGCATGAGCAGGGGCGCGTGGGCACCCGTTCATCCAAGTGGCGCTTAAGGTGTCATTTGGGAGCTCCCCGATAAAATGCCGCTGCTTTGCACATGCGAGCGAGCGAGTGACAGCCATATGGGCCGGCTCAATAGCTAGGGTACGTGCAAGAGATCCCAATTCTTGAAGGTTCTGGCTTTGGGAACCTTCCTGAAGGTTCTGGTTCATTTTTTTTAACTTCTTTGTTTTTTTCCTGTTGTTTTCTTGATGGGCCTTTTCCCCAAGTTTTCTCTTTTTACTTTTTTTTCTTTTATAAAACATGCAAAAAATATCATGTATGTTTCAAAAAAAATTGTTCAAAATTTAAAAAGATGTTTGTTTTTTCAAAAGCTTCAAAGTTTTGTTCACATTCTTAAAAAAGTTAATTTTTTGGAATTTCAAAGACTGTTTTCTTTTTTTTTTAAAAAGAACTTCCAGAAACTGTTCAAAAATTTCAAAAAATGTGCTCAATTCAATTACTTTTTTCATATTTTTAAGAAAATTCATGCTTTATATCTTTTCACATTTCAAAAAATGTTCTCAATTTCAAAAGCTGTTTATGTTTGAAAAAATTGTTCAAGTTTTAAAAAATTATACGCTGCCTCGCCGGCGATCTCGACTTCTTTTTTGCATCGTGGTCCCGAGCCAGCCTCATGGCCATCATTGCCTCCCTCCTGCCGGCGCATGTGGCGGACGTGGCGAGGCAGCTCGAGGCGCTCATCGGAGCTAGCAGGAGCGACACCATAGTCACCGTGAGGGCGCACCTTGGGCACCTCCTGAGCCTTGGGGACCACACGCTCGGCTACAATCCCCGCAGCACTAGCGCCAACAACCTCATCATGGATGAATGGTCGGAGCCATTACTTGCCCGACGAGATGCTCGCTCATCAAGAACATGGTGCCACAGGGAACAAGTGAAATGACAAGTCAACAACCTATAGACAAACCGGCTGTAATCCTTCCCAAAACCACTCGAGAGGCTTATTGATCTGGTATTACAGAGTTTGGGGGGTGATTTAACCGGTTTTAGACTTTGGGGGGAATTTGATCCATCTATATGGATTTGAGGGGGAAAAGTGTACTTTTCTTGGACGCGGAGTATTTGAATCCCAGCTCACATGCTCCTTGATGAACAATAAAATCCAAAAAATTAGTAAAAAAAATCTGATTTTTTATAAACATTGATGAAAGTTTTAGCTTGCTGCAAATTTTTGTGATGACATGGCATTCATGTAGGTCTGAAAAAACCGATACTGAGAAAACTATTGTTGGAAGCATTTTGGAGCATAAATTTTGATCTTTTTTGTCCAGACCTCCACCAATGTTATTTCATCAGGAAAATTTGTAGGAAGCTAAAACTTTCAGCAATGTTTATCACAAAAAAATCAGAAGACTTTCGACTTTCCTGCCTATACGATGGACCGGAGAAAGAAATCTTGGCCCAGTAAGGGCATCTCCAGCCGCGCCCCCAACAGGGCCCCCAGGCCACTTTTTCGGCGCCGGCGCAGAAAAAACGGCCCAGTCGCGCCCCCAGGATGCCGAAAATCGCCGGTTCGGACCTTTTTTCCGCCCGGCGGTCACAGGCCGAACCCGGCGCGCTGGGGAGTAGTTGGGGGCTCCGGCGCTAGGAAAAAGCACGCCTGGCCCACACCGACAGGGGAAAAGTCAAGATTTTCTTCCCCCGGCTCGCCTCGCACCCCCCGCGCCCTCGGCCACCACTAGCTATATCCCGGCGACGGCCGCCGCCCTACTCCGCTAGATAGCCATTCCCCGCCGGAAAATAGTAGCGCTTCGCCGCGGCAGCCCCTCCCACAGCAGCTGGGCGTTTCCGGCCGCGGAGGCGCGGTTTAACGGCGGGTACACGCCCACCGAGCGCAAGGTGTTCAGCGTTTTGCCTGCCTCGGCGATGGACTCGGATGAGGAGGAAGAGCTCGCCGCGCTGCTGGAGGAGGAAGCCGCGACCGACGTCCAGGAAGAAGAGCATCTCATGGTGCTCGCCGCCCTCGCCCAGCTGCTGGCGAGCAATGAAAAGCCGCTGCGAGGTGGCTCGGCGCCGGGGCGGATAAAAGCAAAGAACCGGCATCGTCTCCAAGGCTACTGCATGCTCTACTCCGACTACTTCGCCGATGCTCCACTTCATGGCGAGAGAACATTTCGGCGCCGTTATCGGATGAGCCGAAAGCTCTTCCTCAGGATTATGAATTCCATCCAGGAGTTCGACAACTACTTCAAGTGCAAGATGGATTGCACTGGCGCTCTTGGATTCACCTCCATCTAGAAGTGCACGACAGCGATGAGGATGCTTGCATATGGAGCTCCCAGTGATTCACTCGACGACTATGGGCGCATGGCCAAGTCCACCAGCATAGAGTGTTTCTACAAGTTCTGTCGGGCAGTGGTGGCAGTGTTTGGGCCACAATACTTGAGAACACCCAATGCGGAAGACACTGCTCGGATCCTAGCCCAGAATGCAGCAAGAGGATTTCCTGGGATGCTTGGAAGCATCGACTGCATGCATTGGAAATGGAAGAATTGCCCATTTGGTTGGCATGGGATGTACAAAGGCGTCAAAGGCGGTTGCAGTGTGGTGCTTGAGGCGGTAGCCACACAGGACCTCTGGATTTGGCACTCCTTCTTTGGTATGCCAGGAACTCACAATGACATCAACGTGCTGCAGTGCTCTCCTGTTTTTGCCAAGCTCGTTGAGGGCCATTCTCCTCCGGTGAACTTCGAGATCAATGGGCACCAATACAACAAGGGGTACTACCTAGCAGATGGCATCTATCCGAGATGGTCGACATTTGTGAAGACGATCTCAAACCCTGTGGCAGGAGGCAAGAACGTCTGGTTTGTGAAGCTTCAGGAGGCTTGCAGGAAGGATGTCGAGCGGGCATTTGGTGTGCTCCAATCTCGATTTGCTGTTGTTTGGTACCCCGCTCAGACCTTGTCCAAAGATCAAATGTGGGAGATTATGACTTGCTGTGTCATCTTGCACAACATGATCATCGAGAGCGAGCAAGAAGACCCAGTGTTTGACACTGAACCATACTACAGGCAGGGTCCTCTAGCCGAAGTTGATCACCAGCTACCGGCAACTTGGACTGCCTATCTCAGTATGCGTCAGGAGATCCGAGACCCACAGGTGCATCATCAACTGCAGAAAGATCTGATTGAGCACCTATGGAGGCTCAAGGGGGACGCCGTGTGATAAAATACGAGTTTTTATTTGTTGAACTATATAATTTATATTGAACTATTTATTGTTGTACTATTTTGTTGAAGTATTTGATTTTTCTGTGATGAAATATGTGATAAGAAATAATTGTGTTGATAATTGAATGCCGAGACACGGCGAAACCACGCCGAATATGGGCCTATTCTCGCCCATATGGGCCCTTTATTTGCCGAAATTGGGCTGCAAAGTGGGCCAATTTCGGCGCCTGGGGACGAGCTGGGGGCAACGACTGGGCGCAAAACCGTCCCTAGCGCCGATTGTATCGCCGGCTCGCCCCCAAGGGGCGATTTTTATGCGTCGGGGGCCAACGGCTGGAGATGCCCTAACATTTTGACCCAAAACAACCCACGCCCCTGCCCCACGCCCAGCCGGCGGCCGCCCCGTCCCCGCCTCTGCTTGCCTCGCCGCCCTTGCCCGTCGCCGGCCGCCCATCCTACCAGGAGGCTCCTCCGCACCTACCTCTCCGTCGCGCCCGCGGCCTGCCCGGCGCTCGGAGCCAGCCGCGCCACCGCCCGTGGCCGCAACCCTGTTGCCCTGCCCCGGCCTCAGCCGCCCACCGCTCGGAGCCAGCCGCGCCACCGCCCGTGGCCGCAGCCTGATTTGAGGTACCATTTTCCAGTTCCCCAACCTCTGATTAGTGTGTTTGTAAGACCATATTAATCTATTTCTATGTGGTAGTTTGCAATTAGTTACAATCTTTACATGTCATATTTGTTGTCAATTCTTTTGAGGCGGACCATCCTGTTGTCAATTGCTAGCTCTGCCCCTGCCAAGCGGTGGTCTCCCTGGCAGTCACTAGAATTCGCCGGAGGCCAGCAAGTCCCGAGACATCGCAAAACCTCTCCGGTGATGGCGAACATGGTGGTTAGTTCCTCCTCCTGATCCTCTTTCCTTACCTAGGTCCTCTTACAACATCACCCGCCAAAGAAAACTACATGGTGGTGAATAATAGTAAGTAGGAACCATAAGCAGAAGTTCAGAACTCGTGGTATTTCTTTTAGTTTTGGTGGGAATATATAATCAATATTGCATTTTTATGTGGGAAATATACGAATTATATAATATCGAAACTGCTATACGAATTGTTATACTTACCAATTAGTGTATGGTTGTTGGTGTTGTCACCCTTTGAGCTCTAGCCGGATCATCCTCTCTATAAGCGGCCTTATGTACCTGGAAATGGCAGATTTGTCCGTATCTGTGCTTCGTAGGCAACTATGATGATGATGCTAATAAGAAATCAACTCTGATTTGTTTCCTTATCAAATGTAGGAGGACAGTCAAGATGATCGGCTCAGCAAGTTGCCTGATGACGTTCTGCTCAACATTGTCGAGCGACTTGGTATCGTTGACGTCGCACGAACCACCGTCCTCTCCAGACGTTGGAAGCAGATCCCTGCTATACTGTCCAAAGTTGTTATATTGGCTGGTTCTTTTGAGCCGAAGCACGAAGACTGGAGCAAGTTAACCCCAGATGATATAGTTCGGGCCAACACCACCGTGCTGGAAGCAACCAGGAGCATATTGGAAAGGAGAGCTGGAAGTCTGTACCCCATTCACCTGTTGCGCATGCAATTCTACTTGGGAGATGAGTCCATTTTAATTGGCCAGACTGTTGCCAACGCCATAGCAACACAAAAGGTTGATTCAGCTGAGTTTACAATCTTGACGAAGGTGCGTAAGAAGTGTACCAAGAATGAGCTGCTCATATATGGGAAGCAATTCATGTCATTCTTTGATTCATGTCCAAACGCATTTGGTGGTCTTGCACGCCTCACGCTAGAGAATTTGAGGTTAGGAGAATCAGGCTTCCCCAAGATTTTCAGTATATGCAAGCAACTGGAGTTCCTCTCCCTCTACGAATGTGACATGGGTATTCAGTCTTTGCTGGAAGTGGAACACCCGCAACTCAGTGAACTAGTGATTGTCTGTGGCCGTCTTGAGAGGGTTGATCTGAAGTGGGCACCAAAGCTCACGAAGCTGAAATTTAATGTGTTTAGATCTCGGGACGACCCCTTCTGTCTTGGCTATGTCCCACTGCTCCATACTGTGTCCATCATTAATGTTGCTTTCACTTGGCACAAGATGCTCAAGTTGAGTGAGTTGCTTGGTAACTCTGCCATAAGCAAGATGTCTTTGGACTTCAAAAGCGAAAAGGTTAGTGAAGGTCCTCAATGTTGTCAGCGACGTGTATATGTTTTGCTGGCCATGTCGTGGGGAGGTTGTAATCATTATTTTTTGGTTAACATGATCCTACATTACTACATCTTTTGCAGATTTGGGTCAAACCGGAAGGTCGTAGACAATTGTTACCGGTGTTCCACAAACTCAGGATTGTGAATTGGATTAACATTGCTGAAGAGTGTGATCTGACTTGGACAATGTTCTTACTCCATGGCGCACCCAACCTTAAGGAACTACACATCTTGGTGAACTCTTGTACCGATTATTCAGTTCTCATTTTCGATGTTCAAACTTTGTGTGACCAGTTAGGAAAAATAATTACCTGACCGAATGCAGGTGCGGAATCATCAATGTGAAATGGTAACAGGGAAGCGGAGGGAGTTGCCTGTGGTTTGCAAGGAGAAGGACAAGGGACTAGAGTGGGAACCATCTGCATCTGATTTCAAGCACCACAACCTGACAGAGCTCAGTATCTATGGGAGGTTTCATGCAGCAGACAAACTCGTGCGATTTGCCAGAGATGTCGTGGAAGCAGCTGTGAATCTGGAGAACATAAGACTATACAAGAGTCCTGTGTGTGTGAGGTGCAAGCACATGCTTCAGGAATGGACATTCAAGGAGACGTCGTCGCTTAGCTATAAATTCAACAAGGTTGTAACACCCCGATAATTAAGCTACAGTAACCTGACCCTAATGTGCCATGTCATCGCAATTAATTTCCTAAAACTTCACTTTGATCCAAACTGAATTCAAATTTAATTTTAAAATAAAGTCAACTTCTTATTTCTTTGAATTGTCAAATAAAAATGTTCGATGGTTTGCAAATATTCACTAACCAATTTTCACGTGAGGATCAACATTTTTCAAAAACATAAAATGCCCCCAAGCCATTTAAAACTAGCCCAACAACAATTAAATGGAACTTTTCGGTATAAATAAATATGCAAACTTTTCAAAATAAATTGAAAATCTGTGCGCTAGCTTAAATCTTTGCCTATTAATTTTGGACCAAATTTCATAGCCAGATAATTTAAATTAGTATAGGAGTAAAGTGTAAAGCAATAAAGAAACTAGCAGACTGAAAATATAAAAGAAAAAGGACAAACTCCCCTGGGCCGCCTCGGCCCAGCTGGCCACTGAACTGGCCGGCCCACCCCGTCGCCAGGCCCAGCTCAACTCCCCCCATAACCTAGCCCGCAGCCACCCTCGCTCCTGAATCCCTCCCCCACTCCCTCTCGTCCTCCCGTGCGCCGCCACCTATAGTGGGAGGCGAAATCCCCGACCTCCTCCGTCCCAGTGACCAGGTCCGGCCAGCCTCCGTCGCCCCTTCCCGTTCCCGGACGGATCCGGCTGCATCCACACCGATCCCCGCCGCCTGGAACCGCCGCCTACCGCCGTCCTCGCGTCGCCGCCTCACAGAAGCTCCTGCCATGGCCGCAGCCGCCTGGTTCTCCGCGTTCGTGCCACGCCAAGCCGCCTCCTCGCCAGAGATGGATGGATCCCCGGAGGCCCCGTCGCGGATCCGGCCTCCCTCCGTCCCCTAATGTCCGCGCCTGCCCATCTGCTCCGCCCGTCGTCGCCCCTGACCGATGGCCTCATCACCGACGACCCGCACCTCGTCGACCGCCTCTCCGACCCGCCACAGCCTCCCCCGAGCTCACGGACCTCCCCTGCGGCTCGATGTGAGGCTCCCCCTCGATCCCCCTGCTCCTCCTTTCCATTTCTCCATCTCCAAAGTTTGCCGCACCACCGCGTTGAGAGCTCGCTGGGCGCTCGTGTTCACCACCACCGGCCACGCACACGCACGCCCGCGCCGCGCACGTGCACCACCCCGGAGTAGGCCGTGGCTCCACCACCGCGGAACTCGTCGTTCCCAACGATTCCGGCAACTCCAATGCCTGCTGCGAAGCCCCCTAGATGCGTGTGACGGTGGGGTATCTTCTGTTGCCCTCGTCCGTCGCTCCCGTGGACCTCCGGCGTGTCTCCGCTACTCGAAAGGTCGCCGTCGGTTAACCCCGGCCAGTTGTCGCGTCCCTGACTATTGGGGACTAAATGGCTCTGTTGATTAGCCCTTGAGACGCTGACTGGTAGGCCCCCTAGGCTAATTAATCCATTTAAATAAGTTAATGTAATTACAATGTATGACACGTGGATCCATCTGTAAGTTAACTAAGTAACTAAAATCAATTAGACAATGACAGATGGGGCCCACTACTAAATTCTAAATGCTAAACCGGTGTTAAAATTACCAGAGATGACATGCGGGCCCCGTATACACTATTCACCATTTGACCAGTCAATGGTCCAGTCAAACATGGACTGGACACTTGACCAGGGCCCCAGTAGTCAGCCTCTTTGCTGTTCTGCTGGGTACCTTCCTGGGTATACCTAGCATTTGCATTTACAATATTTGTTTTAAAAAAAATTAGAATAATTTAGAAAAAATGTTTAAAACTTTGAAAATTAATATAAAATAAATAGTATCTCGGATGAAAAAAACTTTGTATATGAAAGTTGCTCAGAATGACGAGACGAATTCGGATACGCAATCCGTTCGTCCGTCACACGTCCCTAGCATAGCGAACACGCAACTTTCCCTCTCCGGTTCATCTGCCCGAAAACGCGAAACAATGGGAATACTTTCCCGGATGTTTCCCCCCTTCGCCGGTATCGCCTATCCCTACGTTAGGTCACCCCTAGCACAACGTATTGCCGCGTCTTGCTTTGTGTTGCATTTGATTGCTCTGTTATTTATTGTGTTCCCCCTCCGTTACTCCTTTCCGGTAGACTCCGAGACCGCTGCCGATGTCCGTGTGTTCGACTACATCGAAGATGACCCCTCCTTGCCAGAGCAACCAGGCAAGCCCCCCCCCTTTGATCACCAGATATCGCCTACTCTTCTCTATACTGCTTGCATTAGAGTAGTGTAGCATGTTACTGCTTTCCGTTATTCCTATCCTGATGCATAGCCTGTCCTTGCTACTACTGTTGTTACCATTACCTGCTATCCTACTGCTTAGTATAGGATGCTAGTGTTCCATCAGTGGCCCTACACTCTTGTCCGTCTGCCATGCTATACTACTGGGCCGTGATCACTTCGGGAGGTGATCACGGGCATTTACTATATACATTGCACTGTTACATTACCTGTGATGCTGTTCGGAGATGGGGGCTGAAGGGGCAGGTGGCTCCATCCCGGTAGAGGTGGGCCTGGGTTCCCGACGGCCCCCGACTGTTACTTTGTGGCGGAGCGACAGGGCAGGTTGAGACCACCTAGGAGAGAGGTGGGCCTGGCCCTGGTCGGCGTTCGCGGATACTTAATACGTTTAACGAGATCTTGGTATTTGATCTGAGTCTGGCTACTGGCCTATACGCACTAACCATCTACGCGGGGACAGTTATGGGCACTCGACGTCGTGGTATCAGCCGAAGCCTTCGTGACGTCAGCGACTGAGTGGCGCGCGCCGGGTTGGACCGCGTAACGCAACTTCCTTTGTAATGGAGGTTGCTAGGTCTGCTCACCGGCCGCGTACGCAACGTGCAGGTGTGCAATGGGCGATGGGCCCAGACCCCTGCGCCATAGGATTTAGACCGGCGTGCTGACCTCTCTGTTGTGCCTAGGTAGGGCTGCCACGTGTTGATCTTCCGAGGCCGGGCATGACCCAGGAAAGTGTGTCCGGCCAAATGGGATCGAGTGTGTTGGGTTATGTGGTGCACCCCTGCAGGGAAGTTAATCTATTCGAATAGCCGTGATCTTCGGTAACATGACGACTTGGAGTTGTACCTTGACCTTATGACAACTAGAACCAGATACTTAATAAAACACACCCTTCCAAGTGCCAGATACAACCGGTGATCGCTCTCTCACAGGGCGACGAGGGGAGGATCATCGGTTAGGGTTATGCTATGCGATGCTACTTGGAGGACTTCAGTCTACTCTCTTCTACATGCTGCAAGACGGAGGCTGCCAGAAGCGTAGTCTTCGACAAGACTAGCTATCCCCCTCTTATTCCGGCATTCTGCAGTTCAGTCCTCATATGATACCCTTATTCCATTTGATACCAATGCATACATATGTAGTGTAGCTCCTTGCTTGCGAGTACTTTGGATGAGTACTCACGGTTGCTTTCTCCTTCTTTTCCACCTATCCCTTCTACCTGGTTGTCGCAACCAGATGTTTGAGCTCAGGATCCAGACGCCACCGTCGACGACGACTCCTACTACACCGGAGGTGCCTACTACTACGTGCTGCCCGCTGGCGGCGACCAGGAGTAGTTTAGGAGGATCCCAGGCAGGAGGCCTGCGCCTCTTTCGATCTGTATCCTAGTTTGTGCTAGCCATCTTATGGCAACGTGTTTAACTTATGTTTGTACTCAGATATTGTTGCTTCCGCTGACTCGTCTATGATCGAGCTCTTGTATTCGAGCCCTCGAGGCCCCTGGCTTGTAATATGATGCTTGTGTGACTTATTTTATTTGTAGAGTTGTGTTGTGATATCTTCCCGTGAGTCCCTGATCTTGATCGTACACGTTTGCGTGTATGATTAGTGTACGATTAAATCAGGGGCGTCACAAAGGTGATACCCTCGCACGTCCGTATTCACTTCCCGAGTTTGGGGCAAGTCTTCTCAAAATAATGCTCTTGCACTTCAAGCTGCAGTTTAGAGAACTTGTTGTATGATTCATGGATTAATTGTCACTAGTGAACCTTTTCAATTATGTGTATTTTGAGATGGTAGTGAGTTGAGGAGGATAAGGTGTACTCTTAACATTATTATTTTCAAGTATTTTAACAAATGGATATCGTGGATATTTCTTATTCATGATAAATGCTCGAACTTGGTTTTCATTGTGAAATGAATTGTACTAAGCGGGACACGGCCTCCGCTGTGTTAGTCTTGGCTGCTAAACCAATCAAGCTGTATTTTCTTGTGAAGCAGGCTCCTGAAGAATGCAAACATTGCTTTCCAGTGTAAGTGCTTCAGTTTCAGTGGCTTTTATTTCTTTTTCCGAGGGAATTCAGTTTCAGTGGCTTCAGTTTCTTTTACTTCTACTGTTGACTAATGTCGTTTTCAAAGCAAAAGTACGAGAGGTAGAAGAAGAGGTTTTGGGATGCACAAACTTCCGCGGCTTTTCTGCTCTTTATTCTCTTCTATTTATGCAGATTACAGAAACTTCATTGACTATGCGCCATCCTCATCCACTCCATTAAGCCTGGGAGCTAAACCTTCTAACTAACAAATCTGCCAACTGACGAAACTGAAGAAAACGACACCTGAAACTGAACCTACAGAACTGAAGTTTCTGAAGCCGCAAAGTTTATTTCCAACATTGATCAGTGGCTTCTTTTGTTTCGACAGGTTCACAGGCTTAAACTGCTTGTTGAATGATACGAATAACTTCAGAATGATAGGAGCACCCCAGCACAAGGCGATCCTGACGTGTAAACATAACTTCGCATTTTTCGTGCTTGTTTGTATCCAGCACCACAAGATGACCATTTCTAAAATGTACGATGAACATGTTCTAGATACACCATCAACAATTTTGATGCATGGTACTTTTCTAATACACGATGAACATTTGTAAAACACATGATGGACATTTGGAATACACGAGGACATTTGTAAGACACGATGAGCATATACGATGAAATTTTTTTAAAGCTTGATGAACATTTTTGAAGTACAGATGAAAAATTTGAAGACACGGCGAAGTATTTTTTAAGACACAACGAACATTTTTCAAATACACGATGTGTCGCCTTCCCGCGGCGGCCCGGGAGCCAAAAGGCAGCGCCGGCTAGCAGACCCCACCCCGCTCCCCTCCCCATCGCTGCCGCCCTCGGGCGTCGCCGGGCAAAGCCCGTGCAACGCTGGCGACGACGGGGCCGTTTACCCTCGCCCGGGCTTTGCAGCGCGGGGGCTGCTGGTCTCGGCTGAGGCTCTCTGCTGGCGCGGTGGCGTGGGTCACTGGAGCGGCGAGGTGGTGGGGATGCGTGCGCTAGCGAGGCCGCGGGGACGGCGCTGCAGTGTGCGCAGGCAAGGGCAACTGGCGGTGGTCTGATTCGGCGCCAACCATGGTGATTCTGGTCGGGGACGCAAGAAGATGCGCGGGCGCTGCAGATCCGGCGAAATGTTGCGCGGATCTGGCGTCTGCCCGGGGTGTCAGCGAGGGTGCCGTGCGCGTGTGGCTCCGGGGCGCAGTCGTCCTCCGGCGCGGATCTGGTGTCCTAGGCCGTGGTTTGGCGGGCGTGGAGGTGATGGCGCCGGGCTGCTGAGATGTGCGGAGGTGCGTCTGCGGAGGCGGGTTGGTGTGGGGCCGGTGCAGGCGCGGGCGTTCGGCTGCTGCAAGAAGGCTGCCGCGGACCTGGGCAAGACAGTGCATGGTGGGCTTCTCTGGCCGATCTGCTGCTCTGGTGTCCGGCGGCCGGGGGAGGTGGCGCGGATCTGGGCGTGGCGGCGCATGGTGACGGCGGCCGGTTCATGAGCGCGGGCGGTGCTGGAGCAGAGAGGCTCCGGCCACGGTTGGATGCGGGGTGCAGGGCCCGATTTGGTCTCTGCAGGCCCGTTGTCGGGGAGGCTTGGTGGTGGCCCGCTTGCTGTGTGTGGGGTGTGCGGTCCAGTGGAGGCACGGGTCGACCTCGACCTACTGCGTGGGAGTGGCTGCCTCGGATGAAAGTCTGGCCGATGCTGGCCGGCCGGCGGCAATGGCGCCTGTGGGCGTCGCAATCCTCCTTGGAGGTGTCGTCGGGACTTGCAGCCAGATCTTCCGGATCAAGTACTTCGGGTGAAAACCCAGATCCTGCTGTAGGGTCAGGCGGTGGCGTCGTCTTCAGCGTTGTTCCCCTCTTTAGGGCACCATCTTGAAGATTTTGATCCCTTTGGTGCTTCCTGCGACTGGATGTGCACGGTGGCTTCTGTAGCAAGGATGATGGTGGTGAGCAATGTCGGAGGCGTGGCCTTGG